CGGTTTTCCCTACAGTCCAAATACATGTGGTACAGGTGAATTATAGGCTAAATTGTCCGTAGTGTATGTTTGTGGATGTTTCCCAGAGATGGGTTGCGGCTGGAAGAGCATCCGCTGCGTAAAAACTTGCTGGATAAGTTGGTGGTTCATTCTACTGTGGTGAGCCCGGATTAATAAAGGGAGTAAGCCAACAAGAAAATGAATGAAAGTTGAAAACCTGTATCCATTCACATCCATATTTCTTTTTTCCTGCTATGGCACAGGTTTCAAACATTTTTCAGAGTGTTGGAAACGTTTGTGTTAGAAATGTTTCTGTTCATCAGAAAAAAGAAGCTTATAAAGTTATGGAAACACTTTAGGGTTAGTAAATGTTGAGTAAATTTGTATGTTTGGGTGAACTATTTCTTTAAAATCCTAATCGTAATGTCTCAAGTTTTCAGTCTTTTGTTTGTCCTCTTCCCGCAGGTTCATTTAAAATAAGAGGTGTTGCAAACCAGTTTGACAGGAGACTCAAAGGGGACCATTTTGTGACCATGTCTTCTGGAAATTATGGGAAAGCTTTTGCATATGCATGCAAGCATTATGGATTTAAAGGCAAAGTGGTGATGCTAGAAAACGCCCCCATTTCCAGATCTGAGCTTATAAAAGTATGACACCTATCTTTATAGACTTCAAATGCACTTACTCAAATTTCTTTATTGATTCTTTAATAAGAAATGTGTCAAATGTTTAGAGTTTGGGAGTTGAGGTTGAAAGAGTCCCAACTACTCAACTCATGGATGTTGTAAACCGGTGTGTTCAAGAAGACGGCATGACTTTCCTTCATTCCATTGATGATCCAGACCTCATCGCTGGACATTCCAGGTTAAGAATTGTGTGGTGTCCAAAGAGGCTGTATGATGCTTTATAATGTTTTTCTTCAGACTGTAAGTGCATTCAACCCAGTGCCAAAATTACATCAAACTGACAACACGAATGAAGTAAAAAAAAATATGTAAAAAATAGAAATCGATTTGATGTCAAAACCTTGACGTCCATTTGACATCCACACATTTTGTAACTATACAATGCATGTTAACTACTTTGACAACAAATTGGCATCAAGTATCGAACATTTATTTATGTAAACTCCCTTGATGTCAAAAATACATCAAATTGACATCTAACATTGATGTCAAAAAAACACGTCAACAATTACAAGTAATCGTTTTTTTATGCCAATGTTAGATCAACTCGATTTGCATTTTAATGTGTTTTTTTAATGTTATTTTGGCATCATGGTACCTGCTGGGTCAGGAGTGCCCAACCCTGTTCCTGGAGATCTACCTTCCTGCAACCTTGATCAAACACACCTGTCTTTAATTACTAAGTTCACCTTCAGATGTATTTAGTTAGTTTAGTGGTGTTTGGTCAGAGTTGAAGAAGGTAGTTCTCCAGTATTAGGGTTGAATACTCCTCCAGGAGATTATCCTTTTGCAAAAGTTTTCATTCCATGTAACAACACTCTCCAAAATTAAAGTATGGTGTATTATTAAGGCTCATATCTTTTAAAAATATACACTTTAGTACCTAAAGGGTCTATATTGGTACCCAGTGGTAGCCTACATATTAGTAACTAAAAAGTATATACATTATGTTAGAATATTTCTATGCTTCGATGAGTAATTTTGTATGTTAGAGTTTTAAACCTGATTGTGTTTCTTTCACAAAGGAAGATATATACTGAAGAATGCTGCACGGTAAAAATAAATTCCCACACAGTTCATTTATGTTTTCCCAAAAGAAATTAAGTTGACGTAACAATTAAAATAAAAAAGTTGTCCCCCTTAAAAATCTCTAAAATTGTGTTGTTTCAACTCTTTTTAAATAAATAGTCTAAACAGCCAGGAAAAATTAGTGTGGGAAACCTATTGACTTCTATAGTATTTTTATGTTTATACTATGGATGTCAAAGGCTGTGATTGTCCCTACAATTTTTTCAGAATATCTTGTTTTGTATTTAACAAAAGAAAGGAATTCCTAAAAAGGTTTAGAGTACCGATAGTGTAAGTAATTGGTGACCAAATATTCAATTTTGGTTGAACTGTCCTTTTAAGACTCCTTAGGTACAGATGTGTCTTTTGAACAGGAACCATCCAAGTGACAACTCCTGAACCTCATGTTCTAAGAGTGAAATAACTCTGCATTAGACCTAAAATGTCCACAAAACATCTGTCTCACAATAATTTAAAGAAACATTAGTCTTTAATATGAGGCTAGTAAATAATGGTGAAATATTTATTTAAAATTATTCAAGACTTACACATTTGTACCTTATTCAGTCTGAATATATAATAGTATATTTTAAAAATCCCAGTGATGGTTATTCCTTTTTTCTGTGTGTAATAAATTGAATGTGAATAAATAAATATTGTTTATTTTTTAATATTATATTCTATTAAAAACATTTATCATAAAATGTTCATTCATATTAAATACATTATTGTTTAAGTATATGCAGGTATATGTGGGCATGTATAAATATCATAAATATACAAAGTGCACACATGATTAATCATTTTAAAAGTACTATTTTTAATTTTATTTTTAATAATTAATAATTTTATACAAATACAATTTTAATTTTGTTTTGAAACTAAAGTATTCCAAATTAAACTGCATTTACATATACATTATATACATCTTTTATATTATTAGTAATATGTATTATTGCTTGCATAATGGCCTATTTGTGTCCTACCTTGTTTATTTGTTCACAAACCAATAACCTTCTAGAAGCAGGACTGTATCGTTTGTAATATTCCAGTATTGATACTTGTCGTCTATTTATAGCCTCACAAAAATATGAAACTGTAGTTCCAGGTGTAGTTCCTAGTCGAACCGCTTAAACCGTGGCACTATGAGTAGCGCGTGGCGTTAAAAAAAATACAGAAATGTAAACACTAGAAAGGAAATGTATTGTTAATTTTAATTCTTATCGAACACTGCGCTATCGTGTATGAAGGATCTAAGCTGCGCTAGTTTGTAGCAGTAAGCTACATTTTTGTACTAAAATAGAATCATTTAAAGTGTATCTAAAAAAACAACTAAATTTTAGAAGAATTTGCGGCTTTAGTTTGTTTTATTTCATTCTTTTTCGGCTTAGTTCCTGATTTATCAGGGGTCGCCATAGCATGAACCACTGGCATAAAACATTCCATCCTCAACCCAGTACTGGGAAGCACCCATACACACTCTCACACACATTCTCATTCATATACTACGTTTAGGGATGGTATGTTTTGCAATTCACCTATTATGCGTTTTATTTTATTTGTAATAAACAAAAATTATTATAAATAATTACAACAAATAAGTTTTAAATAATTAGGTCTGGAAGAATGTAACCCAAAACTTATTGGATTTGTTATTATTATTGGGTATTCAGCTTAAAGCTGTAATATATGTTGCTTCACATTCATTAATTCATTTTCTTTTTTGACTTAGTCTCTATATTAATCGCAGCGGAATGAATCGCCAATGCTGCTTTACAGTCAATCATTCATTCATTCTCTTATCGGCTTAGTCTCTAACAATCAGGGGTCGCCACAGCGAAATGAATCACCAATTTTGCTTAACAATATTTTGTAATTATTTATTTGTAGGCAGAAAATTTAGTTTTGCTGCAACAAACCCAACTGGGTCTGAAACCACAAGATTGGCTGAATCAAATGGAATATAGAGCAATTCCATGCAAGTAACTAAAACGGAAAACATTTCCTTACTTCTCCAAGTTCTTTTGGGTTGTGCAGTTTAATTGACATAATTTTTAACTCACATATAGGCCTTTTTTGGGTCTCATTCATAAGACAGCATGTTTATTTCCATCATTTTTAACATAAAAAAACCTTTACAGATTAAATTTTTTTTGTAAAATCTAAGTTTAGCGATGCAGTAGTGCAGTAGGTAGTGCTGTCGCCTAACAACAAGAAGGTCACTGGTTCAAGCCTTGGCTGGGTCAGTGGCCGTTTCTGTGTGAAGTTTGCATGTTCTTCCTGCCTTTGCATGGATTTCCTCCAGGTGCTCCAAAGACATGCAGTACAGGTGAATTGGGTTGGCTAAATTGTCCGTAGTGTATGTGTGAGAATGAGAGTTTATGGATGTTTTCCAGAGATGGGTTGCAGCTGGAAGGGCATCCGCTGCATAAAACATTTGCTGGATAAGTTGGCGGTTCATTCGGCTGTGGCGACCCCAGATTAATAAAGGGACTAAGCCGAAAAGAAAATGAATGAAATCTAAGTTTAGTTTTTTCTTCTAAAATACAAACAGATGTTTCAGTGTAGCGACACGATGATGCAGGGGGAAGCACTATCGCCTCACAGCAAGAAGGTCACTGGTTCGAGCCTCGGCTGGATCAGTTGACACTTCTGTGTAGGGTTTGCATGTTCTCCCCGTGTTCGCGTGGGTTTCCAGTTGCTCCGGTTTCAAAGACATGTGCTATTGGTGAATTTAATAAGCTAAATTGTCTGTAGTGTATCTTTGTGAATAAGAGTGTATGGATGTTCCGTGATGGGTTATGGCTTGAAGGGCATCTGCTGTGTAAAACAAATGCTGGATAATTCATTCCGCTGTGGCGACCCCTGATTAATAAAAGGAAAGAAAATGAATTGAATGTTTTAGTATAGGCTTATACAGTCTCTGTAAATTTATGCTTCAAGTTTTTTTTTTCTATTGTTTCCGACTAGTTTTAAGCTATGCTTTACATATATATATATATATATATATATATATATATATAAACTAACTGAAAATACATGAATTTTCAGTTCAGTATTTATAGAAAAAATCTAATACAAATATTTAATAAGATTTTAAATGAGAAAATAAAAAAGCCATAATTGCATGAACTGAATCACTTTATTTTAATAATTATTTTGGGCCATAGCGCTCCCCCTATAGGAATAACACTGCTTCTTCACGATCTTTGGTAATGTGCCGCCAAATGATTATTTTAGAATCTTTGATCGTTCGAGATAACGCCGAATGAAAGGCTTTGATTTGGAAAAGCAGCTTTAGAAAATCGAGCATTATATTTTGGGTTGCACTCCCGGTTTTACGGTAATACTATCATTCAGGGTCCGTGTAACACTTTGCAGTGCTTGTGCAATAGTTTATCAAAGCTGCACTACTGCAAATTAAAACAAAGACAATGCAGCTAAAACTTTTGGGCTGTTTTTAAAAGTATTTTAGGTTGTTAACTTAAAGTACTTACGTGCCAGCTAAAAAAAAACTGTATAGAACTTTAATTTCTTTCTTTTTCTCAAAGAAAATAAATCCAATAATATATATATAAAAAAAAAACTAGTTCAGATTTGTTAATAAAACTACACAATAATAAAACAATATCTTTTTCAGGATAAAATAAGTATAACTATTGAATAATGTGATTAAGAATTATTTAATGTTATTCAAAACCACAAATACATCTTTATATATTTATTTATTTAGCAACAGGATCAAACCTGTCCAATCAGAAAAAAATGGGAGATGTTTCAGCAGACATGATTACTGTAGAGATGCTCAGAGAGGCCTGTGAGACTGTGAGGTGCAGCCCGATGGATGTTATCAAGACGCCGATGATCCCATGGAGCCAAACCACACTGCCACTCCACACCTCCTGCAATATTCACATCAAACTGGAGAACATGCAGCGCACAGGTTTGTTTGTGTCTTGTTTGACCTGTTTTCTTAAACAAACAGGCTCATTTAACAAGATACAGGGTTAATCAGTTGAATGTTAACATTTTTTATCTATTCAGCTGATCACTTTTAGCATAGCTTAGCATAAATCATTGAATCGGATTAGACCATTAGCATCTTACTCAAAATGTAAAAAAAAAGAACTTTTGATAAATTTTCCTTAATCTTGACTCTTAACTGAGGTGTACTAAGACTGATGGAAAATGATAAGTTGCTAATGTGTAGGTCAATATGGCTGTGAAATTTACTGTTATTCTGGAGTAATAATCACATTGCTGCTAAATTGACCTATAAAATAGCAACTTTTCATTTTCAAATAGTTTTAGTACACCTTTTTAAAGAGTCAAGCTTTAAATAGGAAAATTATCTATATGTTTTATTTTTAAATGAGGTGCTAAGGGTCTAATTTCGATTAAATGATTTATGCTAAGCTAAGCTAAAAGTGCCTTCACCAGACCTGTAGTTAGGCTAAATGCATTCAGAAGTGATAAACCTCAACTGTTTAACTCTAGGAGATTGGTAAAATGAAGAAAAGCGTGTCTTTAAAGTTTTTATCATAATATCTCAAGTCTTGTGTTCATCCTCCTCCCGCAGGTTCGTTTAAAATAAGAGGTGTTGCAAACCAGTTTGCCAAGAGACACAAAGGGGACCATTTTGTGACCATGTCTGCTGGGAATTATGGGAAAGCTTTTTCATACGCATGCAAGCATTATGGATCCAAAGGCAAAGTGGTGATGCCAGAAACTGCTCCCATCTCCAGATCTGTGCTTATACAAGTACGCCAATCATTTATATACACTTTGCAGTTGCACTTACCAGGTTTCCTTTGTTGATACTTCAATAAGAAATGTGTCAAATGTTTAGAATTTGGGAGTTGAGGTTGAAAGAGTCCCAACTACTCAGCTCATGGGTGTTGTAAACCGGTGTGTTCAAGAGGACGGCATGACTTTCCTTCATTCCATTGATGATCCTGACCTCATCGCTGGACATTCCAGGTTAAGATCATGTGTGGTGTCTAAAAACTGTCTGCTTGTCAAAATGATATCAAATTAAAATCAAGCATGATGTCAAAAAGCTTGATGTCTGATTGACATCCACACATTGATGACCTTTGACCACCAAAATAATGACAAAAATAAAAATATTATAATAGAAGAAAAGGTTTATTCATTTGAAAGTTTTAGTTCCAAATAACAAATTTAAACTGGATTTCTGTATCCCTAAAATTTATGTAAACTACTTTTGACATCTAACATTGGTGTCAAAAATCACTGTCCTATAATAGTTTTTGATAGCAATTTGAGATGTCAATTTATTTTGACAACAATGCAGTAAACTGACAAATTGGTTGGTACCTTTTAAAAAGATATAGATTTTTAATTAAAGAGTCCATATTGGTACCTCAGTGGTTCATATTATTTACTAAAAAGTACAAAAGTGTGTACAATTCTATGTTCTCTAAGTACCCTTAAATGGAAGGTTCACCCAAAACTGAAAATTCTCTCATTGTTTGGTAATCCTTTACTTGTTCAGAACCTGTTTGAGTTTCTTTCTGTTAAACACAAATGGAGATATACTGAAAATGCTGGAAAAAAAAAAACAGACTTTGACTTTGATAGTATATTTTGTTCCTACTATAGATGTCAATGGCTTCTGTTTTCCAGCATTCTTCAGAATATCTTTTTTTGTGTGTGTTTAAAAACAACTACTTGACTGTGAGTAAATGTTGATGGAATTTTTATTTTATTATTAACTATCTCTTAAGGTGTCAATGTGGACCTAATAATATAATATGCATCTAATAACACATCACAGTAATGTTTTTTTTTTTTTTTACTCTGACTGTGCTGGTGCTGTAGTCCTAAAGCTTTTTTCTAAAATGTACATAACGGTACATTTTGAAACAGCTTTTGATCCATTTTTTGCAATATATTGAACACAAATAATGTAATGTATTTAATCCAATTGTAGCTTAGGTTTTGAGATCCTGGATGTCGTACCCTATCCAGATGTGGTGGTTGTTTGCTGTGGTGGTGGAGGGTTACTTTCTGGTGTGGCCGCTGCCATCAAACTGTCTGGTTGTGAAGACACAAAGATCTATGGAGTTGAACCAGAAGGAGGTAAATCATCAAAATTTATTTTTATATTTTGTGTGTCTGCCAGAAATTGTTGATGTGTGAAAACTTGCCAGTAAACTTGAATGAATGAATCAAGTGCAGTTCCTTGTGAAGGAGATCAAGCCAGATGTTTCATAAGCCTTTACATAACTGGAAAGACAACCTTTGCCAAACTGGCTACTAGTTGCTTAAAACCATAGTTGACAACACAGACATAAGGGTTTGAGGTAGGTTATTCTCCCTTCCCTTGGGAGTTTCACTGAGGCTGTTTCTCAATATGTGTTTTTCAGCATTATTGCGTCCTCGTGTAATGTCATTTTTAACTGCCAAAGTTTAGTTTTAAAACTCAAGAACGGAGGATGAGTGAAAGTTCCCAGATGTGTTCTTGATATCGAGAATGCACCTGTGCAGACTTGAGTGCAAAACTTTCTTTGCGAAGTGCCAGAAGTCAGCTGAATAAAGGAGGTGGGAAGTGCAGAGTTTTATACCTGTTTATTATTAAAGTTTATAGATTTATCTTTGGAGTTTCCCTAAATGAAAAAGTAAAAGTAAACATTAATATAAAAATCTTAATAAAGGCATAAACACATTAAGGGTGTTTATTTGCTGAAATACCTATTAACATCTGTTTAATTTGTATTGTGCAAAGTATATTTGTTAGGGTTTTGTGCATGTTACATATATTGAAAAGGAGAAAAGCAATAAATTGTTGTATGAATGCTGTAATGTTTAAATAACTAACTAAATAAAATATGCATGAAGGTCATGTGACCATAAGGAATAATGCAGCAACTCACTTCTCAGAGGACGTGTTCTGTGTTCTCGCGGTCTCCTGAGTTCGTACTTTAGAGGTGACCTGGCAAGAACGATCTTCAAAAGAACGCGAGTTCATCGTCAGCATTCTTGGAATTGAGAAATGGGTATTTCTAAAAAGCAGTCCAAAAAAAGAACAGAGTTCCCTAATAAAACAACACGATCAGGCTTTTTAAAAATTCTTTTGGAAGATGTTGTTCCAACTGTACATTACTGTATGTGGTGGTTTCCTGTCCCCTTGATGATTGGCACAAGAACTGGATCAAATGTCTGCGGGTCCAGCATTTTGTAGCAGTGCTTTCAGACAGCTCATGACCTCACTAAAGGACGTGTCTGTTGTGCAGCCGAGATTGCAACCCTTTCAAAAGCAAGATAGTAAGTACTCGGGCAGGTCTTAGCATTACAGTGGGGGCTAATCCATCGCTTCTGGGCCTGCGGACCCTCCACAGCGTGCTCCATCTAAGCTTAGAGTGTTTGTGCTGGTTCATCCTCTGGGATGGCCATGCTTTTACTTGCTGACATCAGCAACCTGATGTTCATTGTGACTGTTGGAGCCATTTATGGGTTGCAATTTTCTTTCGCACCATTAGAGGGTGTATAAGGTATTTATGCTCTCCTCGAGATGAACTAAGAGGTGTAGAAGAAGGTCAAACTTTTTAACCGTGATGGATGTGAGAATAGGTTTATATTTATTTTGATGTTTACTTTTTTACTTTTTTGATAAAATGGACAATAAATGGATTGGAATATCCAACTTTATTTCCAAAAGGTATGGACATTTCACTTTATTATTGACCCGTTTAAGCAACAAACGTGTCAGAACCAACGACCAAAATATATGCACCTACAGCGACATTGGAGGGTGAACTGTCTTCCGTGGTGCCCATGATCAAGGATCTGGAATCTGACATGATGACTGCTCTTTCCTGGCTGCTTTGGCGGTGGGACTAGAGGTGTCATCACACCATTCCAGCTGCAGGACCAACTCACTGCCCCCCAATAGTGGGGTGGCCAGGGGGTCAAAGCTGTTCCCTAGGTGGAGTGTGCTATTGGGGTCTACCTTTGCAAGGCATGCCTCCTGACCGGACCTCAGTTGCACATCGATTTCCTGGAGCTGTTGGCTCAATTCATCTTCATCGATTTCGATCTGTAGCAGAAACACATGCTGGTCTTCATCGATTCTGATCTGTAGCAGAAACACATGCTGGTCAGGAGGGACAGCACAGATAAGGTGGTGCATATAAACCATTTGGGTGGTATATGCTTTCGTGCATGTCTCAGCTTGCTCCTTATCTGCTACTAGCACCATGCAGCTGATGCACTCTCACGCAGTCCAGCTGATATTGGAGCATTTTGGAGAAGCCCAGGTCAACCTGTCCGCTTCTTCTGAAACCGTCCATTTCCAGTTGTTCTATTGTCTGACCAAGACCCCCTCAGCATGGATGAGCTGGATCAGCTGTGACCCCGGTGCTTGCACAATATGCTTTTTCCTGTTCAAGGTCAGGGAAGATGTGGAGCAGGTCTTACTTGTTGTGCCACTGTGGCCCAACTGGACGTGGGTTTCCGAACTCGCACTGCCCCTCTTTGGTGAATTCCTCATCCTCAGGGACGGTGCATCCTCACCCAGAATTCTGGAACCTCCATGTGTGGTCCATAGATTAATAGATAGATAGGTTTAATCCATCCCACCCTGTCTCATGCCCTCTTGGGATCTCTCTGTAGTCCTAGCAGGTCTGCAGAAAATTCTATTTGAACCACTAGACAGTATCTTAAGGAATTTTGTAATTTTTTGTTGTTTTAATGTCCTTATATTTTTATTAGGGCTTACTTTATTTAGTTTTGGTTACTTCTGTAGTATGTGCACTTGGCAATAAGACAGATATAAAAGCATTGTTTATACATGTTATTGACAGCAATTTCATTAAAATAATTGTTAAACCTGCACTAACCCTTTAAGCTATTATATTAATTGCATAAATTCAACCATAATTAATTTTTTTTCAATAGTTATGCTGTCAAATCAGTTTTTTATTTGAGAAAGCAAATGATAACATTCTGTTAATGTGATGAACTAGGACATGTCCTGCAATGTCACTTTTGCTCCGTTGACATACACAATATCTTAAATAAATCTGATTTTCAACAGCATGTACAATGTATAAGAGCTTCATTGAGAAGAGGCCTGTTGGTATGGACGCTAAAAGCATTGCTTCAGGGCTGGCACCTCCATTTGCAGGTATGAAATCTACTTTATAGTGTTTTTATCATAACGTCATCAACATTCTTAATCATGCTAACAGAAAGCTACATTTCATGATTTATTTTCAGGAATGCTTGCGTATCAGCTTTGTCAGAGGTATGTGGAGAAGATTGTGCTGGTGAGCGACGAGGAGATCAAATCTGCCGTTTCCACGCTTTACAAAGCCGGTCTGGTTGTTGAACCTTCGGGCACTGCTGCGTTCACTGCCATCATCAATGACAAAATACCAGATATTCAGGATAAGAATGTGGTGGTGATTCTCAGTGGAGGAAATATTGGCAAAGATGAGCTTAACAACTTCCCAGACTGAGAATTAAAAAAAAAAAAGTCTTACCAATCTACATATCTTTACAAATATTGTTGGGTTAGTTACTTCAAAATAGCTATTCATTACTAATTACATTATTATAAAAATGTATTTTAATTACTTTTTTTAAATGACAAAAATAACTTAATTACTTAATAATTAACTGAATTTCTTAAGTCAACACGACTTAAATTTTCCTATTAATCTCAATGCATAGAAACTAAACTCTTTAATTATTTAAAGTTGAGCCATTATCTTTATTAAAAGTGCAACACTTGAAGAAAAATAAACATGATGTATGTAAAAACACAAAAAATTTAAAGCAATGACCTATTTCTATTTAACCAAAATCTTCGAAAAAAGAATTATTCTGCAAAATACATTTGTTTACCCCAAAAAACTGCTCTTTTTCACGAATAGATTGAATTACAGTATTTAAGGCAAGTATATTATAATTAAATGACCTAAAAATGAAGTTATCTCTAACTTTTTAAGGTAAAAGTAATCTAATTACAGTAACTAGTTACTTTGTAACTAATTACACCCAACACTGATTACAAACACATACCTTTTATATATTTAGCCTTTTCTGAAGTAGAAGAAGAAAAAACAAAATCACCTTTCTCCTTTCCATAGAATACCTTTAAAAAATGGGCTCCATAAAAATATAAGCAAGCGTAAACTTGTAAAATAATAAAATTGAGGTTTAGAAATACACGATGAGGATAAGAAAATGACGTATTTTCATTTCGGGGTAACTTTTTTTGTCAAGTTAATGTACTGACAACTAAATGTTGTTTTTATAATTAATTACACTAATAATTTACAGTACAAATTGTACAATCATCAGCAAATTACATGGATACCTGTTGAATATGAAAACACAGTAAATAAACTAATAAATGTGAACTTGTAAAAATAAAATGTGCTGTGAAAAGTGTAGATTTTGTGTGAGTTGCTGTTTATTTATTTTATTATATTTCAAGTTTATTTTTTAACATAAATCTTAAGATGCAAGTGTAACTTTTATGTGTATAATTATATTGTTACTGGCAGTGTTGGGGAAGGTAACATTATACTTAGTTACTTGTTAGCAAAGTAATTTCAAAATGTGTACTTTATTTTTGAGTTTACATTTTTTAAAAGCATAAGATTGGCTTGAAATTATTATATATTAGTTTGGTTACACAACACTGGTAACTGTATCTTTGAGTACAACAGAGAACACATTTAATTTATATTTCTCCTTTATTTACAAAAAGAAGGTGATACAGTTTTTGTACACAATTTCACCTCTAAAATTATGAATAGTAAATATACATTGATATAGCCAAGATGATTTAAATGAAATGTGAATTTATAAATTGTAACTAATGGCAGACAAAATAAAAGTTTACATTAGGTTAATAATGTTGTGTATTGTGTGTATTTATTATGTATGTATAAATACACACATACATATACATATATATATGGAACGTTTATATAAAATTATAAATACTTATTGTTAAGTATATACACGTGTGTACCTTTATAAACACTATGCTAATACAAACTTTTATCTTGTTTTCATTTAGTCAAGATTAATGGTTAAACAGCCCTAGTTTTTATTTAAACATATAGGCAGAGCAAGTGCAATTGTTTATATTGAAATAACCAACACATTATCTAGGCCACATCTTTAATTGCCATCCTGCAAACAACAGCGTCCAAAAGAGTGCCACACTTATCCTCTTGTGGTGTGATTTTGTAGAGCTGAAATGAGAGACAAAAATTAACACGACACATCTTCCGTTGTTCTAAACCAGTAAAGAGGAGAGCCCCAAACCTTTTTTATTTTTGCAGTATCAGTCATTTCGGACACTTGACCAACATCAATTTGCTGTCCATCCACCTTTGAGATGATGTCATCAATGTTAAGGGTCTCTTCTTTATTGTGTACTAACACAATATGAACCGCGGTGTCGCTGTCGGAGATTCCGAACCTTTTGAAAGCTTCGGATATCTGAAAAATATTGAGGTATCAAGACAAGACTTTTTTTGTTAAAGTTGGACAGCTACAAAACCATTCATTCATTCATTTTCCTTCGGCTTAGTTCCTTTAGTTATCAGGGGTCACCACAGAGGAATGAACCACCAACTTATCCAGCATATGTTTTACACAGCAGATGCCCTTCAAGCTGCAACCCAGTACTGGTAAACATCCATACACTCTCATTCACACCCATACACTACGACCAATTTAGCTTATTCAATTCACCTATACCACATGTCTTTGAACTGTGGGGGAAACTGGAGGAAACCCACGCCAACATAGGGAGAACATGCAAACTCCACACAGAAATGCCATCTGACCCAGCCGGGACTTGAACCAGTGACCTTCTTGCTGTGAGATGACAGTGCTAACCACTGAGCCACTAAGGTATTTGAAATGTTACTTACATTGTTTGTTGGTGAAAGATTGAAAATGATTTCAGAGTAAAGGCTTCTGGTTTTCATTTTCCCGATTTTATGAAGGTGAACTGCTTTATTTGTTGCCACCAGGATCTGGAATGCATCCACAACCTTTATTAAAAAAAAATAAAAAGGTAAATATACGTACATGTTTTTAGAATATATTTTGACTATTATTTGTCTTGTTTTCAGAAACGTCATATAATTTTAGACAACACAATACTGAATGTTTAAATGTTTTTTACTTCAGAAGATGTAAGCAATCAATATTTGGTGGAATAACACTGATTTCAACAATAACAAATGAAAACATTTCAGTATTATGCCAAAATGTTATTTTCTTCAACAAATAAACAGAAGCTTTAAATTATGTTCACTGAAATAGGTTTAAACATTCATAGAATAAAACAAATATTTTACTCTAACAAATATTTTGCAAGTGAGGAGATACACGGTGAGATTCTTTGAGAGAATTGATTATGTTCTGCAATATGCATTAACTTAAGAGTATTATCTGACCATGTCTGTGTTGTTTATGTGCTTGGGGTGAAGCTGATTTTTTTAAACATTAGATATTTTATTTTATTTTTTCATAACTGTATACACACACACACAAACGTATTGCCACGATACAAAAATTATTAAACTTAGAATACCACGGTAATTTCCTTAAACGTATAGCTGATCATGAATGAATGAATAACTCATTTAAATCGTCTAGTGCTCTTACCATTGATGGATTGATCAAGGCGCCTTTTATTTCTCCATTTACTGCCATTTTCCTGAGCTCAGTCGCATTTTTCACATCTTTGAAGAGCAGCTGAGTCACCGTGTATTCATGAAACAGTTCTAAATCCTGTGTGAGATACATCGCAAATGTTTTAATGTCTCTAACCTACTACAACATCAACTTTATTTTGACTGCATGCTCTGCCCGGTGTGACGGAACAATAATAATGTAACACCCCCATTTGCTGCTAGAAAGGTTCCGACGTGACAAAGGATGTTTAAAATAAAACAAAATGCCCATTTTAAGGCAGGCCCTTTGACTAATAGTTTTATGCAAGTATATGATAAGTGTGTGTACAAAACACAGTTGTTACTTTGTTCAACATGAGACTGACGTTGTGAAAAATGCTAGACCTTTCGCACAGAATACCAAGTAAATAATAAAACTTGCATTTTAACATTTTTATTTATATTTTATTAGTACATTTATTCACATTTTTTTTCAGAACCACGACAGAAATCGTATTTAATAATTTAATCAAAAAACTTCTGAAGTAAAAAAGAGGGAAACAAAGAAAATAAAAACGTTGCTCAGTCGTGTTTAATAAATATAGATTTTTAAATTCCGCAAACTGTAGAAATTATAGTATACCAAACAATTATTATTATTATTATCATAAACAAAAATGTGTATCATTCATACTCAAGGCAACCAATCAATCATTCATATTTAATAAGGAATTTATGTATAAAAATAAACGATAGTTCATTAAGAAAGATCAAATAATGCTTAAAGTATTACAGAGATTTATAGTTATAAATCTATAATAATCTATAAAACAATAATATATGGTAAGAATAACTTATGACATTGGTGGAACTAATTGTTCTCGCTTCCGGTTTACACACGGATCCTTGAGTGTGAGGCAACAGTTAAGCTGTCAAAAATCAAATTTGAAAATGCGATTTTGGTATATTTGTACACATATTTGACACCCTGAAGGATCGTCGATCACAAGGAATGATTGTATCGCATACCATCTTAATCCTCCTCATATATCACTCATTTCGTGCTTCATCAAAGGTCGAGTTTGTCTGAATAAGGATGGAGAGATTTGAGGTTTATATCTTCACAGCTCTGTGCAGCGTCAACTTTCTCATTTCATGCCTGCTGTTCTCCAAAATCACACGGGAACAAAGAGACCCGTACATGGATGAAATATTCCACGTCCCTCAGGCACAGAAATACTGTGAAGGGAAGTTTACTGAGGTGAGTTATTGTTGTTTGTACCGCACATGGCTGCAAGATAAAAACATATTTCACATTGCAATGTTTTTCTCCCTGCAATATATCGCTATATGAATATAATTTCACCATATTATTTAAATACCTCTATTTGGAAAGTCATTCATTAAGATATAATAAAATTTAAAATGTATTTATATAGTTTATTACACACAAGCTGCAGTCACAAATAAACACGAATAGAGCAAAGATACAAGTAAAATAAACAGTTATTGTAGTCTAGTATTAGGGTAGATGATTTGAGTAATGTAATGTAAAAATAACATTGTATTGACCTTATTTTTCACATACGAGTCGGTGCAGCATTTGGAATCCTTTTTGTTTGAGATTTCTAGTGTCATTTACTTGCATTGATATTTAGACATTAAAAACAGCTTGCTATGCTGCTTCATGTTGCAAACTGTTTTTTTTTTCCCTCGAGTCCGAGTCATTTGATTTTCAGTATCTACCAATACCGAAACCCGATCCGATATTACTCATTCATTCATTTTTTTTCCAGTTTAGTCCCTTTATTAAACCGGAGTTGCCATAGTGGAATGAACCGCCAACTTTTCCAACATGTTTTTATGCGGATGCCCTTCCAGCCGCAACCCATCTCTGGGAAACATCCACAACATGCATTTTCACACTTATACACTACAGACAATTTAGTCTACCCTGTACTGTAATTTACTCTACCCTGTAGACAATTCACCTGTACTGCATGTCTTTGGACTATGGTGGAAACAGGGAGAACATGCAAACTCCACACAGAAACGCCCACTGATCCAGCCGAGGCTCGAATCAGCGACCTTCTTGCTGTGAGGCGACAGCACTACCTACTGTGCCACTGCATCACCCTCCGATAGTACTATAATACATAAAAAAAAATTAAATAAAGAAGAGCAAAGAAACAAATCCAGGATATTAATTATGTTTCATTTAAGGTAGCTTGAACAATCAAGTAATAAATAACATAAATTCTTCAGTTTTAGACTTTAGTGCAACAGTAAAGTTTAAAGAAATCTAGTATTAAAACAAATAGCACGTCAACTTAAAATACCCTGCTGGGATCCCAAGTATGCATATCTCACAGTTTGCTATGGAAATGTTGTCGTTATCAACTTTATAACACCTCTGGACCACAGACATAGTCGCACTTTCTGCTTTAAGTTGTTTCCATGTTCTACTTTGCTGGCGTTTAACCAAGAAAAGAGGTCTAACTCTGTGCCACGGCATAACTAAAGATTTAATGAAAAATAATCAGCCTACATATATATATATATATATATATATATATATATATATATATATATATATATATATATATATATATATATATATATATATATATATATATGCTCTTATAGTTGTGTAAATTGCTTCCTTGTCCTCATTTGTAAGTCGCTTTGGATAAAAGCGTCTGCTAAATGACTAAATGTAAATGTATATATATATATATATATATATATATATATATATATATATATATATATATGTGTGTGTGTGTGTGTATATATGGTATATTTCCGATCATGTGATCAGATCTGGACATCCTTTTATGTATATTCATGAACACACTTACTGTGTGTTCAACAAGTAGTGTGACCATTTTCTGCAGGTTATTATTCCTAGTAACTTATTCCATAGGCAACTGAATTGTAAGTTCTAATACAATTGCAAAAACGAGCTCATGCACTTTCGCATTGCTAAATAAAGTCAATAGTCTTTATTATATCAATAATTCAATAAATTAATCTTTATTCAAGTTAAAAAATAGCCTGAATGTTTTAAACACAGTCAGAGGCTTTAAAAACAAATGTGAATGACAATACTTTCACTCTAAAGTGGTAAAATTCTGCAGTAACTCCACAAATCTTATTGAGGTGAAGTTGGTTTTACATTTGCATATTCAGGCTTTCTCCCTAATAATAGTTTCTGAAAAGTATTATTTTCTTTCTATCAAAGTACAACTGTGTTCACAGTCAATTAAATAGTTCTAATGATGTTTTGAAGTCATACTTACTCACGATTTCAGACTAAAGTTTCAAAGTAGTGTGGTAAACAATATAAGGACCGTGTCAAAAGTTGTCGCTGACAAATGTGCGAATAGAAAACCAACTTTACCTCAATACAAATCCTGTTTGTTTTTGGTTCCTGCTCACCTAAAGTGTAATCTCTATTGCGAATATACAAATTTGTGTGTTTTAATCCTAATGCACGTTTTGATTCGTTTTGTTCTTCCACAGTGGGACCCAATGATCACCACTCTCCCTGGACTGTATTTGGCATCGGTGGGTCTGATCAGGCCGGTGGTCTGGCTGGCAGATCTGAAGGGTAGAGTGGTCTGTTCTACTGCCATGCTGAGATTCATCAATCTGCTCTTTAATAGTGGGAATCTGTACATTCTCTATCTGATCATCTGCAAGCTGCACATGAAAGATAAGGTATGTATAGTGGGTAAGACTTTACAGTAAGGTTGTATTAGTTAATGTTAGTTAGTGTATAATAAACAAAATGCATATTGCATTGCAGTATTTATTCACGTTTGATAATGTTAACGGAAATAAAGTTGTTCAGTGTTAGTTTATGTGCATTACCTAATGTTAACAAAGATGAATTAGGATTTTAATTATAAATGCTATTTATTTTAATCATGCTTTTATCATAAATAAATATTGTTCATTTTTAGTGTATGTTTGTAACAGTTATTTTATTGCTAAGTGTGAGCCATACTGTAATGTGTGTGTCTTATCAATAAGGCTGAATTTATTTGCTCAACTACAATAAAGTAATATTGTAAAATAGTGTTACCATTTAAAGTTAATAATAGTGTGACTTTATTATGGTATATGACTAATGTCTGCATTCTTAATCATTACAGTTCAGTATGAATATCCTACATTGCTGCCACAATAGCATGATTACAGGAAATCAAACAGTAAATTTGTGATAAAAGTATTATTTGGAAGGCTTTTTAGTAAATTGTTGTGGCTTAAATTATAATAATTTTATATAAATACATGTAAAGTAATTATATATATATATATATATATATATATATATATATATATATATATATATATATATATATATATATATATATATATATATATATATTTTTTTTTTTTTTTTCATTGCTTAGGGGGATACTTGTTTAGAATGAGATGAACAAAAAAAAAATGCTGAAAAATGTACACATTTTAAAGATATTGTATTTGTTAATCAAAATAATTATGAATAATTCTTAATGGTTTAGTTCACCCAAAATAAATATTTAGTCACCATTTAGTCAACCATCGATTTCCATCGTAGAAAAAACATAGACTAAGGATGTCAAGGGTTACTGGTTTCCAACATTTTTAAGAATAACTTATTTTGTGAGCAACAGTAGAAAGAAACTAAAACAGGTTTGGAACAAGTCAAGGGTAAATAAATAATGACAGAAAGTTCAGTTTTTGGTAAACTATCCCTTAAAATTCTAAATTTGCAAACATTTAAAAACTAAATTGTAATTGAAATAAACAGAATTCCAGAAAACATAATAAAACTGATAATAAAAGGAAATGAAATTATAATGCTTAAATGCTTAATAAAAATTATTTGTCTTGTTATATACTTCTTATTTAATAGTGATTTTTTACTTGTGCATCCAAAACTCACAATTATTGGTTGTTGCTGTTTTGTTGCCAAGGTTTTTTCATCTGTCCGTTAATTTAGTTTTTTAAGAGAGAAAAAACAAATTACAGCAACAAAAACAGAACTGTATCATGAAATGAAGTATTATTGTAAACAGTGATAATATAATAATAATATTATTAATAATGTTTTTTTTCTTTCTTCAGTCTCGCTCTGCCAGTCGTAGAATGTTATCCGCTCTGGTTCTCTCCACGTTCCCTGTGCTCTACTTCTTCACGTTCCTCTATTACACTGATTCCGGCTCCACGTTTTTCACCCTCTTTATGTACCTCATGGCTCTGTACGGGTGCCATAAAGTTGCAGCGCTTCTGGGCATCTGTGCTGTGCTTTTCCGCCAGACCAACATCATCTGGGTGGCGTTTTGTGCCAGCATGGTCGTGGCTCAAAAATTGGATGAGACCTGGAGGACTGACCAATCGAAGAAGAGAGATGAAAAATTACCTTCTCAGGTCCCTCTAACCATCAACGGGGCAATCAGAGTGATGCGTTTCTTGTTGGATTTCCTCATATCGCCAAACAATATAAAAGCTGTGGTCTTGTCAACATGGCCGTACATCGCTGTAGCCTTTGGCTTTGCGTTTTTTGTGGTGTTAAACGAAGGGATTGTTGTTGGCGATCGTAGCAGTCACGAAGCTTGTCTGAACTTTCCTCAGTTTTTCTATTTTCTGTCATTCACGCTGATTTTTTCGCTTTCTACCTCACTGAGCTACCAAAGAGCGGTCCGATTTTTACAGGCTTTAAAAAAGCAGCCTTTAGTTTATTCATTTCTCATGCTGACCTTTCTGTTTTTGATTTGGAAATTCACATTTGTTCATAAATACTTGCTTGCGGACAACCGACACTTTCCATTTTATGTTTGGAAAAACATTTTCCGGAGACACGACGCTGTCCGTTACCTGTTAGTCCCTGGATACGTGTTCGCCATGTGGAACTTTCTGGATACCTTGAGGTCCAAGTCTTTGTTTTGGTGTCTGGCGTTTTGTGCTTGTCTTGTGGCAGCTACCGTTCCTCAGAAACTGCTGGAGTTTCGATATTTTATCATTCCCTATCTGTTATATCGCGTTAATATCTCTGTGCCATCTTTACCAAGACTGTTTCTTGAGTTTAGTCTCTATACAGCGGTAAACGCAGCTACTGTGTACATCTTCATCTACAAAACCTTTCAGTGGCCTAACAATACGGCTGTGCAGAGATTCATGTGGTGACGGTCATAATGAATTCCTTGTACGTTCATATTCTATCAACAACACTGTAAACAAAATGGTTAATTAACTTTACTTAAACTGAGTAAACCTGTTGCTTTTTTTATTGGCTAGTTGACTGTACTTAAAATAAGTGAGTAGACCCGTTGCTAAGTAAATGAAGTTAACAAACTATGTGCTTGATTATAAAAAATTAAGTTAAATCAACTTAACAGTTCCAAATTACAATGAATTTACTCACTTTTTAAAGTTAAGTCAACTTGTCGCTTCTAAGGCAGCGGTTTAATGATGTGATGGTTTCACCATTTATCGGTAATTAAAAAAATGTGCTATATTTAAAAAATATGATGCAACAATATTGCAGTACCGCTGAGCCATATTCCAGCATTGACTTGCTGTTGATTTCAGTTATTTTTGTTTGTTTTGTTTAAACTATTTGTGTTGTCATGTGTAATTGTTGGTGTTTCATAATTTTTGTTTTAAATTAGTATGTATCTAAAAGCATAGATCGCTTAAATCAGTGTTTCTCAACCACTTTCCTGGAAGACCACCAACACTGCATGTTTTGGATGTCTCCTCTGTCCATCACATCCGTCACAGCTCTTTCAGTCTCTGCTAATGAGCTGATGATCTGCATCAGGTGTGTTTGATTAAGGAGGCATGAAATATGTGCAGAGCTGGAGGTCCTCCAGTAACGTGGTTGAGAAGCACTGACTTAAATAATTAGTTTCTCTGGATTTCTTCAAATTTATATGTTTGAGTAAAATGTTATTTTATATTAATTCTGAAAATGTTTGATGACATTTCTTTCAAATGTAAAATAATAAAAAAAAAATTTATTTAGACTAGAGCATTTGTTTTATTGCGTAAAATAATATAAATTGAGCTACTGGTTCAGACTAAGGTACAAAACTGGCTTAGTTCCCTTTCAAAATGTTTATTTTTGTACATAATTAAGAACCAAAGAGTCTATATTATTTCCTAAAGGTACAGATGTGTACATGAAAGTACAACAATGCACATTTTTAAAGGGTACTGTCTAAGTAGCATGTATATGGTTTACTATGTCTATTATTATTATTATTTTTTTGATAAACATCAATAACAATGTTTTAAGTTTAAAAGAGTTGTAAAAAGACTATTATTGGTGGAATAGCCCTGATATTCAATAAAAAAATGTTATTTTCTTTGAGAAAAAAAATAACATGCTCTGAATGACCATATTTGTTTGAAAGTTTGAAAGAAATGTTATCAGACATTTAGAATTAAAAGAAATTTTCATATTTTGCTCAAACTTACACCAAATAAATTTTGACTAGTCATCTAATTATTATTATTATATATTTTTTGTAATAGCAAAATATTATATGGACATAATTAGTGTTATTGAAGCCATTCCTCTCGCCAGCCCAATGAGAATTTATTTATTTAGTAAAGTTTTGCCTAATATGAAGTACAAGACTCAGTTGTTCCACTTTATGTTTGTGTATTAAATTCTGTTTCATTTCAATAGGGTAATTGTTGTGTAATTTTATACATTTAGTTTTGTTTTCTTAAATTTTGCCTTTTTTTATGATCAATATCAAGTTTAATCATGTTCAATGTTCATTTCTCACAGTAACTGGTTTGTGTCTGTGTTTTTTCAAATTTGTGTTAGTCTTTCCTTCTTTGCTTGGGTATTAAAATTGTTTTGATACATAATTATGACTGGACATATTTATTATTATCAATTATTATTGTTTGGGATTCTAATAAAGCCTGCAGAACTTATTTATTCTAATTGTTTTAATATGTTGTATTGTAATTGTTTAAATATCTACTAAAAACAAGGGCTATAGATAATTTGTGCATATTTTCAGCCTTATTATATTCAACACTATATAAAAACACATCCTTGCAGTTTGGGTGATTATGATTACAGAGAAAACACTGCAAATGATGCACATAAACAAAGCAAATCATTAGAGAAACCACTCAGAAAAACAGAATTTAAAGACAGAAATAAACCAAAGACAGAAAGAGAGCTCAGAGCAAATAAATACATTTATTAGAAAGGGGTTGTACCAATGATGTGAAAGATTATAAGGGGATGTTGGTGGGAAAATGAAATGTGCAATCAGGTCTTCATGCAGAATTCTTGCCTAAGAAGGAAAGCCTGTGTCTCAGCAGATCGGACAATTTGGAGAAGATGTTAAGATGTTTGGGGTGAAGGGAGTGTATTTTCTGATGGATGACTGCTCCAGGATAAAGTAACACATATCCAGTGGTGTAAAGTAACAAATTACAAATATTCAAACTACAGTTTGAGTATTTGTACATGCATACATATAGCTCTGATATGGATTGATAAAATCAGCTGGAGTGTGCCTGATTATCGAGCCTTAAGGCTGATTTAAGTCATGTTCTAAATAAAAGACACGGCACGTGATAGAAGGAATATTTTTCATATTAAAGGAAGTTTTAATTCTAATCAACACCTGAAATTTATCATTTAGTAACGGCTTTTTATTTCTTGCAGCTGAACAGCAATGATCACCTCAGGTACAAGTGCTTTATTCAGCTAATCATGTGAGCATGAATGCCATTTTTGCTAATTAAAACCACGTCGTGTGAAACTCTGAATATGTGTCTCATTTCGGAGTCGGTCCACCAGAGGTCGCATTTCAGTTGCGGATGCATGCTTGGAGAGCCTTCCTGACTGAATGACTGAAATATGCTGTTTTCCACCAAGGCAACTCGGGTACTGAATATAATTGTCTAAACTGGCAGTGGGAAGGTTAAAAAGAACCAAAACAAAGACAGCCGAATGGGTCATTTAAAAACTTTAGCAATGTTTTTTTTAGATAAACAAGAATGTCCACTTAGTATGTTTCTTAAATATCTGCAAACATTTAATGGTATTTCTATGCTTTAGAAAAGTCAAAAACTTACACACAGCACCTTTAAGGGGTGATGCAGAAAACCATCCAACAAAAAAGGTATTACATAACTGTTAAGAAATGGAGAAGGGGAAAAAGGAATGTTTTGGCTGCACAGGAAGTTTAACACACAAAAAAATGGAAATGTATAGAATTTGCTAACACTGTATGGACCAGCAAACCAATTTTACAAACCAATTTTTAGTTCACTTACACATACACTAATGCATTTGTTAATGGATTATATTACATGACCTAACAATGAACAACACATTTATTCAGCAATACAGAATCTGCCACGTAAACTTAACATACTATATTAATGTGTTAATGAATGCATTAATTAATGTGAACAACTAATGAACAAATATTAGTAACACATTAGATAATGCACACTTTAAGGTTTCTAATTCCCTTAATAAATGCTTTTTTAATGATAGTGATAATGTACTGCGGTCACATCATCCAGGTGGATGCTGCACACTGGTGGTGGATGAGGAGATTGCCCCCAATGTGTAAAGCGCTTTGAGTGCCTAGAAAAGCGCTAAATAAATGTGAGGAATTATTATTAGTAAAGAGTCCACAACCATAAACAATGGGTCTGTTTTGGAGTATTAAAGAGGAAATCTTGTGTTGGACTTACACACATTTGAGAGGGGAGAAGTGTTTTATGTCTATTTCCACAATGTGCCAAATATTGTGTTTTATTGATATGACAACCATTACAATTTTTGATTAAAGTTCAGCTTACGTTTGTTCCTGCCTGCACCCGTATCACCCGAGTTTGCATCAGTTTGATGATTCATTGATAATCCTATACTGCAGTACTACACACTTTTAAACCCTCTACAAGCTCAGGGGAACTGAAAGCTGTATACCAGCTTGCCTTTTCATCCATTTTATATATTATTTAAAATATACAAGAAACATGGAATTAATGAGCTGATGTCCCTTATGAAAAAGAGGTCTGTTCTTGTTTGCTATTAATATACTTTCACTCTACTTTTAAGTACTTCTTAGAAATATACTTAATATAGCACTGGAGTATACTTGACAGCCCAAGAGCATGAGAGCGCACAACTAGCATAGCAACGTGATGTCATACTTCCTGTTTCCCTTTCCGAGAGCTCAAATTATGGCTCTGCTGCACAAGAGCCTCTGTACTTCTGCATGTAAGTTTAATACTTTTACCATTACTTTTTTGGGGGAAATGATAAAGAGATGTATGTGTATCTGTGATTTAAATGTCTGTCTGACCCTCAAAGCCTCAAACACTGAGTAAACACATAACATAACATGTCCATTTTTAACACAGTCAAAAAACTATTATTTATTACCTTAAAAGTGTTTGTACTCTTCTTTAACATACAGAGTTACAAAATCAAAAGTGAAGCTAAACCAGAACTTACGGATAAACTCAGTAAATGATTAAATAGTTGGCTAAAACAGAAGTTAGTGTGACTAAAACTTAGTTTGTTCTCTCTCTCATCATTGGGTCTGTTTTAGTAAGTGCTTCTATATGAATCAGCATTGATTGCTATAAAGTGTGTGATGTTTTTAATCTCAGTATATTGTCATCTCCAGGTGATGGTCAGCGGCTGATTGTTTCCTCAAAGCTCTGCTAATGTTTGCATTGGTGTTTTAGCTGCAATATGGCAGAGGAGCGAGTAAAGGACTCTCTCTCAGAGAAACACAGGTATTGACTTTGTTTTTACACAATTTCAACACTTTCTCTGAAGAACAAAGATCAACAACAATGCGCTTATTTGTGTGGCTAATGCCTGATCAAATGATGGACAAAGCTTCAGTTTACACGTTCAGGAAATGTTTTAGATCATTCTAGGTTAGAGACAGCTTGATCTGGTGTCATATTTACCAGAGCTGAATATGTGTAATGTGTCATGTTTAAAGTCCAGTCCAACATCAGAATTAAAGCTGACCACAGAACAGTTTCAGCTTGTGCTTATACAGGAGATAAAATAGGAGATAAACTAGAGCTTCATTTAATTAAATTATGCATGTTAAACTTATTGTGTATGGTTCAATGAACGGCATTTTTAAATATTTTTGTCTCTCAGACCAACAAAATGCTGATACTGTTTTTGTATTTTATATTTCCTCATCTGGTTTCTGTGGTGAGTTTTTACTCATGTCAGGTTACATAACAAGATTTTAGAGGCAAATGTGTTTTTCAATTAAGCTGAAATTGTGCAGAATGAGAAAGCAGCGCATTATTTATCTGTTTATTTACCCATGATTTCTGATTCCTGTCTGTTTACCCATGATCAGACAGGCCTTCAGCCAACAATGAGTTTGTGCTAAATTAAACTAAACACTTTTAGAAACTCATATTTGGCTGATAAAACTCTTAAATGTGACTGAAGTTTATTCTTTTGGTGTTTTTTGTCTTCAGGGTGAGATCAAGATCATGTGTGTCCAGCTCTATGTCTCTGAAGAGTGACTGCTCAAAAGATTATCCACCAGTGTTCAGTCAGAAAACGCCATCATCTGCCAAAAGGTATATTGTGTTTTACATTATTGATCACACATAGACTGTTCGAAAATTGCATTGTTCAAAAAACACATATCTGTGTATAAACATCTGTGTATTTAATTTATGTCACATTATGAAGTGGATGATCAGTAATATTTCAAAAGTTGATAAACTTATTGCTAAGAATAGCATAAATAAATGCAATAAACCAATATCTGAAGGGGCAATATGTAAGATTTGTTCATTTAGAATTAACAAAAAACACTAAAACTGTGTTGAATTGAATGATGTACTTACATTATCTCAAATATGTGTAATAATGTTTAAATACAGAGAATGTATTCTACATATTGTAAAATAATTGTCCCTTTATTTGATTATAAAAGACTAAAGTAACAAATATATGTAGCCTATTTACATAAATGCAAAATAGATGTTTCTCTAGGTTATTTGAATATTTTGTTAGGGTAAGAAACCCACATTACACCTTCAAAGTAAACAAAGTCAAATATCATGAGACAAGTCATTAACTTTCTCCACAACTTAGTCACATTTGAGAGAAGCAGAACTATGAATCACCAAATAATATTGAGCTTCTCATGACTGATAGGACTATTGACCAGGGTGACAAAATGAATTAAATTATTGGAGATGTACAGTTTATTTATTTACTTCCTTTATTTAGGCAGGAGATCACATTTAGACAGCTCTGTCTCTTCTTCCAGTGAGACCTGGTCAAGATAGCAGGCAGCACATAAAGTTTCACATAAAAATCACAAAAAAAAATACCACAAAGTTACAAAATCACTGTTCATAAAAACATCAGATCATAAAAAACAATTACAGGTGTCCTTTAAGATGTTGAATAAAAGATGCTTAAAAGTACTCAGAGTCGGAAGTGTGTCAAGATTGAGCCTATTTTGCAGGTCATTCCAAGCCCTGGGAGCGTAAACGGAAAAAGCACGTTTGCCAAGTACTGACAAAACCCTTAGACAAATACATACCCCGAACTAGTGTGTTGGTTGTTGATGTAAAATGTTAACAAATTAAAAAGATAGGATGGTATTTTACCGAGAAGATCCTTTAAAATAAATGAGTACAGATGTAATTTTCTCCTACTTTTATATAAAGATAACCAATCTAAGGAATCATACAAAATACAGTAATGCGTCCGTGAGTCTGCACCTGTGACGAAGCGTATTGCAGCATGATAAACAGAATCTAGTTTTCTTAGTAGAGTAGTGGCTGCGTACATATAAAGATGATCACCATAATCCATTATAGATAGAAATGTACTCTCTACTAATTTTTTGCGGGCTTTATAAGGAATACAATTTTTTGACCGGTATAAAAAAAACCTAATTTTAGCCTAAGCTTTTTCAGTAACTTGTCAATGTGTATATCAAAGGCTAATCTCTCATCAATCCAAATACCTAGATATTTATAAAAGCTAACTCTTTCTATTTGAACACCGTTCAGAGTTGTAATTGTCTGGTCTGTTAACTTCGTGCGGCTGTAACCGTACTCTCTTTTGCTCTGCGTTGTGTAGTGAATGACGAGAGGACACCATTTGGAGTCTGCACAGAGAATGTTATTATGACAGATCGGCAGCTTCAGCTCATTGCATTAAATGTACACTCCTTAGCTCAAGGTAAAGGTGGAAAAGCGAAAAGGCGAATGAAAGATGGAGGAAACGAGCGAGAGGCGCCGCGGAAGGACGCGAAGACAGGAAAGGGAAAGAAAACTAGTTCTCACAATTACAAAATTCAGCATGTGAAGAGTGACAATCCACATATTACATTGTCTAAAATAAAAATCATAAATGCATACCTGCACAGAGAATGTTATTATGACAGATCGGCAGCTTCAGCTCATTGCATTAAATGTACACTGTCAACAAAAATAACATTCTACAATATAACAAACTGTTTTTATATCAGTAAATATAACAAATGATTAAAATTAAACTTAAATATGCATTTGTGTGTGTGTTAATTATGGCCAGAGCCAAGTTCAATTTGGAATAGGTAGAGCATACCTCCTTAGCTCAAGGTAAAGGTGGAAAAGACCGCTCAAGCAATAGTGCAACAGGTATGGCTGCTTGGACTATACCACCTTGACGTTAAGCCAAGGGGGGGAGAAGAGGTGAAACCACTGTCACTTTACAGACTCTTTTTACATTTATATTGTGAACACAAAACAATTTTATATGAACAGTAAGTACACAGGAGGAAAATATAGTGAAATCAATATATCCAAAATAATCCTGTTACACGGCCATGGCAAAAAGTCATGTATTTAGTCTTTTTTGAATTTAAAACCAATTTTATGCCATGCAACGTACACTGTAAAACTTGAAAAATAATCTGTAGATGCTGTGCAGCTTGGTTTAAAGAATGTGCCGCTGTATATATTATTGTGTCATCGGCATACAGGTGTATTTTAGTTGATTCTATTCCATCACCTTAATCGTTAGTATAAATAGAAAATAACAACGGAGCTAAAACAGATCCTTGGGCAACCCGAGTGTTAACATTTAGAAATGGTAAATTATAATTTTCTACTGTCACACATTGAGTGCGTTCTGAAAAGTAGTTTTCAAACCAGTTTAGAGCAGATTGAGTAAAACCTAAAAGCCTAAGTCTCTGCAACATTAGTCTGTGATCTACAGAATCAAAAGCTTTAGATAAATCAATAAATAGAGCTGCAAAGGACTGTTTACTGTCTAAAGAGGATGTGATATCATTTAAGATTAGTGTAGCTGCAGTAACAGTACTGTGTCCCGATCTGAACCCTGACTGATAATCCTGAAGAATATTATTAACTGACAAATATTGTTTTAGTTGGTCATTAATGAATGATTCAAAGACCTTTGCTAAAATCGACAGTCTGGAGACAAGACGGTAATTATTTGGATCTGCAGGATCTCCCCCTTTTAATAATGGGGTAACCATAGCAGATTTCCACATTTTAGGTATCACATTAGAAGTGAAACTTAAGTTAAATAAAGAGGCTATAGGTTCTGCAACTAGATCAGCTGCCAGACGTAAGAAATAAGGGTAAATTTGATCAATTCCTGGAGATTTTTTAATATCTAGAGTCTTTAAAGCTTTATAGACCTGTGCGACCAGGATGGAGCATGAACAAATGTGAGGGGCTGTTTCGAACAGACTCAACAAATGTATTTAATGTATGGGCAGATGAGTTGGGAGACTCAGAAGTCGAGCCGAAAGATATAAAATAATTATTAAGATTGTCTGCAATAGCTTCTCTGCCCTTAACTTCAGTATTAATAACTTTTAAATAATTTGGGAAATTAGAAGCCAGTTTAGGTACTGAGATAGACTTGACTAATTTGCAAAAATGTACAGGGTTTTTAAAGTTTTTTAGGATTATCCTTACCACTTATCTTAAATCGTTTAAATGGTTTTTACAGTTCCTCACGCAGACAACAGCGCAGTGATCACTGATGTCATTGCAGAAAACTCCCGTTGCTGGATATCTATGGTCAGCATTAGTTAAAATTAAATTCAAGAGAGAAGATTTATCCGAGTTGTTTTTTTAATCAGCTGGACCAAACGAAAAGACATACCTCCTTAATCAAGTTGGAGGAAGACGACAGCCAGTCCCAGTTCAGGTCGCCGAGTAAAATCAATTCAAATTTAGTCCAATCGTGAATAAATTCTGCAAGTAAAGTGCATGCTTCACTTGAAAACGATGAGGGCGGGCGATAACAACCACCAACGATAATGTCCGAGCTGGAGACCAAGTGTAGTCTTAACACCAACAATTCCAGGCTGTTTCCTTTGCTAGTCGAATGTATGCGGGAGCAATTTAAGTTGGACTTTACGTATATAGCAATTCCCCCTCCTTTTTTTCATACGATCACATCTGAAGACATTAAAACTGTAAATATTAATCAAGTCATTTGTAACTGATGCCTTTAACCATGTCTCTGTGAGGACCAATATATCCGCATTAGTCGTTTCAGCCCAGATTCTTAAAGAGTCCATTTTATTTATCATACTACGCATATTCAAGTGAAAAAAGCGTAGTCCATTTGTGGATTAAAGTTCACAGTTGAAGTCAGAATTATTAGCCCCCCTAAATTATAAGCACCCCTGTTTATTTTTTCCCCCAATTTCTGTTTAATGAAGAAAATATTTTTTTCAACACATTTGTAAACAGTTTTAAATAGTTTTAATAACTCATTTCTAATAACTGATTCATTTTATCTTTGCCATGATGACAGTAAATAATATTTTAGTAAATATTTTTCAAGACACTTCTATACAGCCTAAAGTGACATTTAAAGGCTTAACCAGGTTAATTAGGTTTACTAGGCAGGTTAAGGTAATTAGGCAAGTTATTGTATGATGATGGTTTGTTCTGTAGACAATCGAAAAAATAAATAATAAAAGGGTTAAAGGGGCTAATAATTTTAAACTTAAAATTATTTTTTTTTTAAATGAAAACTGCTTTTATTCTAGCCGAAATAAAACAAATAATGAGGGGAAAGAGGGAAAAATATTATCAGACATACTGTTAGCATTTCCTTGCTCTGTTAAACATCATTTGGGGAATAGTTAAAAACAATAAAATCAAAGGGGGGCTAATAATTCTGGCCTCAACTGTAGTTTATAAAACTTGAACAAGATAAAGAAGCCTGGACCTACATTACAATGCTGGGTTCACACCACAGCATCACTCACTCTAGATGCTTTGTAGAAAAATGTCTTGAACTTGTGTGGAAAACATGATTGAAGCAAATACTGTGGGTTCGAGGCAAACGTTTGGCTCATTCAGTGTCATTCAAGCTGCCCACTTTATATTGATTTTATATGCAATATGCTCACACAAGCACTTCAATTTACATTTGGTGTGAATCATATGCTCTCACATATTATATGGATTTGTCCAGCAGGTTTGACACATGATTTATAGGGATTCTCTTATGTGCTGATTAGATAAACACCATAATTGCAAATGATGAACTAGCCTTGTTAATTATCTCTGTACGCTGCCACCGAAATTAGCTTATATTAAAACATTACTTCCTCAACATTAAATTCACATTTTGAGGGAATAATGTGAACCAATGATTCAGTAAAGCAAATAATTCCTAAATGAATCAGTCATTTAAATTTACCTGAGTGTATTCATATAGTCTTGATCAGGACAAATCTATGAGCATAAAACATACCCTCATTGTTAGTAACTTTGAATTATGTTGAATGAGAATGAAGAAACTCTTATAGTAAAATTACATCCTCATTATGGTAAGTTGAGTCATGTAGATCGAGAAGGAGAAAAATAAAAAATAAATAATCCAAGTAACAAACCACACAAAAATAATCCACAAAACAGGAAGACAAAAATACAAACCCAATAAGATTTTGGTGTGAATTGTCATATTTCTTAACTTTAATATTACATTTTATTATACTATATTATATGTCTACTTGATAAATTTAATTGTGTAAAACATCGTTAAACAAACCTTTTGGTGTAAGATCATTTCATTAGGTTAACCCACTATCATTAAGATAAAAAATAAACAATAAAAACCTTAAAAATGGCAAATAGTTTATTGACTTTATGGGAAGAGAGGGTCAGTTAGGTTTTGACTCTTTTTCCTCTGGTGTTTTTGTCTACAGAATGAAATCGGGATCATGTGTGTTCAGCTCTTTGTCTCTGAAGACTGATGGGTCAATGGGTAATCCACCAAAGTTTAGAGAGGAAACACAATCAACTGCCAAAAGGTATTGTGTGTTTTACATTATTGGTCACGTGGACAGTTTTGAGCATATTAAGTGAACCAACAATTCAGTAAAGTGAGCCATTTCTGAATGAATTAGTATAATTGAATTCACAATGAACCGCCTGAGTAATTAGTGGTTCAAGCTGATAAATCAGGCACTCAGTTGAAGTATAGCGAATGAGAAAGACAACTACATTTTATTTGTTAACAGTGTTGAACATGAGTTACCAGATTCAGGAGGCGAGACTCACAAGAGCCACAAGAGTTTCAAAGACAATCTCCTGAAGATCTTCCAGGTGGGAAAAACTCATTTTCATTTATTAAAGGGACTAAAATAAGTCCATGAAACACATACAGAATGTTTGTGTTGCACTACCGAGTCTCATTTTAACTTGTTTTAAGGACATTACATCAAAGTTGGATCAGCCTGTAGTGTGTTTTTCCACTTCAATTTTGAGTGTCACTCTAAATCCAGATCTCCATGGGTTAATAAATTGGATTTCCATTGATAATGTCTGTGTGATTTTGTTGTCAGCGCATTCAACTATGTAAAGAACAAAGTCTTAATCAGAATATTTCATTTTTTTCAAATTTCATCTCGTGACAATATGTAGGTCAAACTTATTCCTGAGAATGAAAATGAAATGAACTTCTCTCTATCCAGAGCCACTGTTTGCTTGTTTGCATGTGGTTTGGGTTTGAATGCAGGAGGCAGGAACTAATTAGCAGCCTAATGAGGTCAAACCGAGAATTCTGCATCATTGCAGTCTTTTCAAACAGATTACTAAATCAAAGAACATTTATTTTCAAAAAGAGTTGGCTCATTTAAAAGTGGAAATTGTTGGCATTATGCAGGTATGTCTGTGGAAAATATTCACAGTTTTCTGATGAGTGTGAAAGTCATGTTGGCAGATGACACAAAGACAGAGCACTACTAAAAAAAGCTTACTAATTTTAGAAAAAACAAAACATTGTTTTGTTTTAATTATGAATGTACACAAATGAAAACTGACCATTTACAGTTCAAATCTGAAAGCCATTGGCCCTGTTTTACGAAAGCTTTGATTAGATTTTTTTAGACTATGGTTCCCACAGCTAAAGCAACTGTTCAGATGTATTCAGGCACTCGTCAGGTATTTGTTTCAAATTGCTACTTAGTTTCTTAATCATCATATCAAAAACCTTCTGTTGTGCTTTGATGTGATTTTTGACTTTTGTAGTTGTGAAATATTTGAAATCATTTAACATAGTGATATGAGTATATGAGATATATAATGTTCTCAAAACCAGCTGGATGTACTTTAGCTGTGTGTTTATCTAAAAAATTGACCTTTGAATGTCAATGTGTCAACAGACTCATAGTATAATGTATCATAATGTATTTTCAATTATCGAGTAGTTTATTAATGTAAAACAATATGCAAATTAATGTTTTGGCTAAATATTGTTCTTCTCTTTTCTTCAATCATAGAATCTTGAGAGCAAAATTATCACATTTCTAAAGAATGAAATCGAAAAGTTTAAGAAAATCGTACAAGAAGAAAACAGACAAGACTTTGTAAAGGACTTTAATGAGAACAGATGCAGTATCACAGAAGCAGCTCTTGATATCCAATCTTCTTCCTGAGAGAGATGAAGCAAGATGAAGCTGCTAATACTCTTGAGGGTAAGAGACTCATGGCATTCTGTCAGTCTGACACTTACAAATATCATAACCATTCAGGTTTTTTTTAATTAAAACTATTCAAGTATTCTTTATTTCAATAGTGCTTTTACAATAGATATTGTGTCAAAGATGCTTAACATAGAAAAAGTTTAAATAAATTAAAATGCTTGAAAGAAATTTTATATATTAAAATTTAGTTTCCTCTTAAACATGCTTTTTATACTATTTTAATGAAATTAAAACAGCCAACCTTTTTTTTTAACTTGTGATCTTTTTCTTTATACTGCCAATATATGAACTGCACATATTTTAAACACATCACACATCAGTATTAATATCATCTGACATTACATACAGCTAATGTCTTATCCATTTTCAGAGGTTCCTAAAGTATCCCCAAAACTGTGTTGGTAAATAGAAATGTGGTCCTTTGTGCACAAATGGTTATCCATAGTGTACAGTGTCAAGGCAGTCCTATTAACATCTCCCTGTTGCTGAGCCCTATTGTCAAAACTCAATCAGTCACAGAATCAAACAAGCATATCCTAAACTCCTTTAGAGCTATCATGCAATTTAGATATAGTGACAAAAACAACCAACAAAAAAAAAAATAAAACAATAAATAAATAATAACCTGTTACCCATGAAGCTTACAACAAACTTAAATATATATATATATATATATATATATATATATATATATATATATATATATATATATATATATATATATATATATATATATATATATATATATATATGTTTAATCCCCTTAAATAGTACATCAAAACAACTCTTTTAGAAGTATATTCAAATTGTATTTGGCAAATACGTACACAATCATACATAGCATCTTATACAGTGAAATGCTTAGACAACCACTCGTAACCTTAAAAATAGTACAGCACTATATAAAAATAATAATAATAGCAATAAGGATCTAAATTGTGAAGTAAAAGTTACACAATACAAAATAAAAACAAATATATAAAATATTGTAAAACTAGATATGTAGTGTATGTGGCTGTATGTTATTCCATTAAGTTGTTATAGGGAAGAAACAACTAGATTAATTGAGGTTTTCTGGTGTTGGGTGAAATATAAGATATTTTAATATCTGATATAACTTATATGTGAAACAAAAAAGTAATAACTTAATAAACAATGATATAAAAAATATATTGTATAAGTAATTATTAACCCAATTAAAAGTGTGTTGTTAAAACAAATAAATAAATAAAATAAAACGATCAAACTAAAGCCCAACCCACTACACTGAACCAAATGAAAAAGTAGAAATCAAAACCATAATCTTCACATAACAACACATAACTAAACTATGCAAACCATCAAAAATAAAACTACACCGTAAACTAACTAAGAACACAAGCGCTATTCTCTCAGATTTAATAGAGCTCTCATAAAGTCAACAATGTTAGCAATTAGCAAAGCAAATTATATCTGATGTTATCTGATAATCTACAACCTCTAATCAGAAAAGGTTAGGGCAGTATGGAAAACACATAGAGATGTTTAAATGATGTTAATGTCACACTTAACAGTAAAGAGTAAAACTACAGCTCCACAGCTAATCACCTGAGAAGATTTAGTAAAACATTTAACAAACATTTAGTAAAAGACTGGGGACTTACATCTGGAAAACTGAAGACTATAACAGTTTTAATGCTTTGTTTAGGCGAGCTGTTCTTCATTAACCAGTTAAAATGCAGCCTGAAGAAGAAATATCAAAGTGTGTTTGAAGGAATTGCTCAGCAAGGAGACTCCACACTTCTGAATAACATCTACACAGATCTCTATATCACTCAGGGTGCGAGTGAACAGGTCAACACTGAACATGAGATCAGACAGATTGAAGCTGCTTCCAGACATCATCAATCAGTAGACATACAGGTTGAATGCAAACATTTGTTTGAAGCACCTGAACAGGACAAGCAGATCAGAATTGCCCTGACAAAAGGAGTTGCTGGCATCGGGAAATCAGTCTCTGTGCAAAAATTTGTTCTGGATTGGGCTGAAGGAAAAGAAAATCAAGACATCAGCTTCATATTTCCTCTTCCATTCAGAGAGATGAACTTGAAGGAGAAAGAAAAACAAAGTTTGAAAGACCTCATAACTCAGTTTTTTCCAGAGACTAAAGGGCTGAACCTTACACAAAGGACACGATTCAAAATCCTGTTCATCCTTGATGGATTGGATGAATGTCGTCTTCCTTTGAACTTTGCTGGCAATGAGATGTGTCAAGATGTATCGTCAGCAGTCTCTCTAGATGTTCTCCTGACAAACCTCATCAAGGGAAATCTGCTTCCTTCTGCTCTCATCTGGATCACCAGCAGACCAGCAGCTGCCAGTAAGATTCCTTCTGACTGTATCGACCAGCTGACAGAGATACGAGGATTCAATGATGCCCAAAAGGAGGAGTACTTCAGAAAGAGACTCACAGACCAGAATCAGGCCAGAGAAATTATTGATCACATTAAAAAGTCAAGGAGTCTCTTTATTATGTGCCACATCCCAGTTTTCTGCTGGATTTCAGCCACTGTTCTCCAGAACGTTTTGAAGGAGAAAAGTAACACTGAACTGGAACACAGGGCTTGGGCTGAAACATTGCAGAAATCTCCTAAGACTCTGACACAGATGTACACACACTTTCTCCGCTTTCAGATCCAGCAGAGCAGAAGAAAGTATGATGGGGAAAACACACCAGATGTTTCCTGGGATAAAAACCTCATCATTTCACTGGGGAAACTGGCCTTCCAGCAGCTGGCTAGAAACAATGTGATTTTCTATATGAGCGATCTGAAAGACTGTGGCATTGACGTATATAAGGCATCGGTGTACTCAGGCATGTGTACCCAGATCTTTAGGAAGGAGACGGGAATCATTCTTGGTACCATGTACTGCTTTCTTCACTTGAGCCTTCAAGAGTTCATAGCAGCCCTTTATCAACATCTGTTTCTTGACATTGACAAGAAGCGTGTATCTATTTTTAGACAGAAAAGCAAAAATAAAGGCATAATTAATATGCTAAAGGCTGCAGTAGACAAAGCTCTGGAAAGTGACAATGGACATCTGGACCTTTACCTTCGCTTCCTTCTCGGTCTGTCACTCCAGTCCAATCGAGAACTCTTACGAGGCCTGTTGACACAGCAGGACAACAGTGACTCGGGCAAAGAGGAAATAAATGTTTACATCAAGCAGAAACTTGAAGCGAATCTGTCTCCAGAGAGATCCATCAATCTGTTCTACTGTCTGAATGAACTGAATGACCAAACTCTGCTGAAAGAGATTCAGTCTCACCTTAGTGAAGGAAGGCTGTCATCTGCTGTCCTTTCACCTGCCCAGTGGTCTGCTCTGGTCTTTTTGTTGTTGACCTCAGAGGAGGAGCTGGAGGTGTTTGAGCTTCAGAAATTCCAGAAATCAGACGAGTGTCTCAACAGACTATCAGCCGTCGTCAAAACCTCCAAAAGAGCTCTGTAAGTCAAAGTATTTCTTTCTTTCATCTAATAAATAATAATCGTATGCCAATATTCAATAATTACGGTGAACATATTTCATTTGGCAAAAAAAAGGAGATTTGTGACAAAAAAAGAGGATAAATTGACAAATGTCCTACATAATCTTTAATACATAAAGTAATGACATCCTTTCCATTAAACTGTGTCACTTTTACACTTACACAATTCAGGAGCCATGTGCACCCACGACAGGTAAAAAGCTACTGCTTTCTCTCTCTCTCTCTCTCTTGACTGTAGTAACCAACATGACTGACCAATGTTGGC